GAACGCAAACAGCGGCTTCAAATTGAAGAATCCCTGCCGCGCGAATATCCCCGTGATGAACGTCTCCTGCAGCGTGAACACCACAATTGACACCTTTTCATACACGCCGTACCGCTCAATCCACCCGGCCTGCTCCCCCGCCGGCGTTGCCCAGCACAGCACCCACAGCACCGCCATGGGGATATGGATTGCGCACCCATTAGCGACGATCATGGCCAGCACGAGACGTATTGATGTGCGGCTGTACACGACGAGGTGCAACCGCGACCACAGCACGACAGACTGACCCGTCACCATGGCGCACCAAGCCATCAGCGCGAACGCGCCCGGGACGACTGTTCCGCTGCGACTGAGGTAGCGGATCAGCGAGACGATGGCGTGAACAAAAATGCCCGTGTTGGCGACGACCATGCTCCAGAAGTAGCGACCGCGGCGCTGGCGGAAGGTGCTGAAGATGAGGACGTAGATTTCAACGGCGTTGTAGATTCCTGCTGTGGCGAGAGCGGCGATGGCCATTGCCTCCTGGCGGGTGAGGTCCAGGGCGCCTTTGATGTTGTCTGCCATGATTTTGTGCGTTTGGTTCCTAGTTTTCAGTCTCCTAGATCATGTGTTCCGCTCGCTCGCTAGCGGATATGTCGATTTGGGTTGGTGGGAAAAAGGGAGGGCAAGGAGCGGCCCGAATCGTGTCGGCAATGCAGTGGTGCTGCTCCCCCTTCTTGAGGTCCTTGGTCGGTGGTGTTGACAAAAACCTCTCCTCTTCAACGCTCTCAGTAGCGTGTTAGTCGTCAGAGGCGTTTGCTCAATACATATATGGGCGGCCAAGAATCTCGGGCCCGGTGGAGTTCGGAGCCATTGGGCAGCAAAATGGGAGGTGTAGCCGTGTGGAGCGTAGGCGGGATGTTGATGATGATTGTGTGGTCGCCCCCATCCTATAAAGCAAAGCATGCGCTTCGTCCCTTGTCTATTCTTTAACCAGGGTAAACAACGATGAGTCGGGTTAAGGTTTCGAGAATCGGTTTTGTTGAAACACTCCATGGTTTAGCCAGCCGAAGTTTGCAAGAGTTGGATGCTGTTTGCATGCACAAAGACGCAGACCCGCGGAAAACAAGGGGGTATGCGAGGACCTCGGTGTCGGTTCCCCTGACTCGGTCTCGCCGGATTATAGCGGTTTACGGTGTAGGGAGGGCAGACACTATCGGCGTAAGACGTGAATTCCATCTGATGTTGACGATTTTACCCCAAATCCCTTTCGTCCGCCCCAGTGTGCTTTGACGATCGACAGCAGCAGACGTGTTAGAGCCAAGCCAACCTGACGGCCAGCTGATTCTTATTTGGTAAAAGGTTCGGCGACCTCGACTTTGACATTAGACTTGAGATTCTTTTGGGGCAAAATACCCAGATGAAGGGCGGATGGACTAAAGAAACCATGTTGCTGAGAGGAAGGCTGCTGGTTCTGTGCATGGAGCGCGGGGATGGATGGGTCATTCGGACATCATCTCAATCTTTCAGATGCGTACTGTTCTCTCGCCGAATAGTTCCTGGGTCAGCCTTTGACACGGCGCAACTCACTAGGCGATATGGACTGTAATGGTAGCTGACAGCGAGGACAGGCCTCCATGTTTGCGATCATAGAGGCCGCTGACCAATAACTCAGTTGTCTCTCCTAGCTTTCCGTCCCAAACTAAATCTGATGGACGGCTCCCTTATGGAAACTCAATGGCTCACTTTCCTCTTTACCCGGATCGCTAAACCGCGACTCAACTAGGTTAATAAGCGCTAGTAAGAAACTCAATCTTCATACGGAGGGCTGTCCTATCATGCCTCGATGGGGATGTCGGTACCACTGGTCGAAACCTTTCTCCGTGGATCGCTCCGTATGACGATCCACTTCGGCGCCGTCATGAAATGCTTCTTGGTGTGGTTAAACGGGCCCGCGCCGAGTTGTCCGTTTCTAGCGACCATGGACCGAAGCCGGTGGGCAAGCCCCACTCGGGGATTTCATTGAGACAGATTCAACGTTGTATCATCTGGAGAAGCAATCGCTCAACCGACTTCTGGTCTACCTCGGAGAGCGAAGCCATCACATGCTATGCTGAAGCCAGACAGATTTCCGGATATATTCCTCACCGAAGGAACGCGTGGGTCTCCGAACTCGATTCGAGAGACATGCGTAGGAAGCGTCAACCTCCCACAAGAGTTACTAATCCGATCTTGTAGCAACTACATTTGCCCCCTAAAACCGCGTTCTAGTAATAATTTGAGCATTTTGTGGGTTAAAGCGCCGAAGCGCCGATCTTGAAGAGATCGACGGTGGCTGCAGCATCGCAGCAGTCTGGAGTTACCTCTGTAATTGCCCCTGATAATTGGCGCTGCTCTCAACGCTAGAGTCAGTCCATAGTAGAGTATCTACATGGCTGCGTATAGGCCGTAGTCTTACAGATCGTTGCTAGTCCATCCCAGTATCGCGCTTTGCATCGCAGACAAGCGAAGTGAGCGAATATTAAGATGGGTTACAAGAAGCCTCTCATGAAACTTCTGGAACGTAATCATTCGCCGAGATAGTGACAATGGATGAACTACTGCATCGAGAAGAAGCAAAGTCGAAGCAATGTAACATCGACGGGTCGCAGATGCCAGCTCTGATGCATCTTGAATCTTCTGTTGCTGCGCCTTTGACTCTTTGCGGGTTCAATACCCGCAAGTATCCCGTATCAGCAGGGAGGATTGGGTTGCCATTGACTAGCACATCGTCTCGGCAGAACCCCCCTGCTGCTCAACCACAACCTTCAAGTTTTTGGGTCGGCTATTGACATCCTAGCCGGCCGTGCGCGCGATTAGACCTCTGTACGTGGGATTCCAACACCGTCGCCAATTCGCTCGGGTATGAGGGGAACACCATCTCAGCCCGTGATGAGATAGCTGTCCGGACGGACACTAGATGCATCCCATTCCTAAGCTACTTAGAGAGCAGGAACGATTCTCCTCATAACGGGAGCTTGTTCAAGTAAAGATAGGGCTCGGTCCGAGGGCTCCGCCAACTAGGGAAACTGAACCGTTGTTTCATGCGTCGACACGTGGGAGAAGGAGTACAGTGACCTATCGCTCAGCCATTCAATCCCGCAAGGCGATCAGCCTGTCAAGTCGTCGGGCCGCCGTCCTGCACTACCCCCTTGGTGGTCGGACCTCTTGGCAGGAATCGTACGCCCGGGTTCGCATGTCTTTTGAGGATTGTGGCATGATACGAGCATAGGCTTTGACCGTCGAGTCACAGTCGGATTCGCTCCTCATCGTGGATTGTAGTAAGTTGGCATCGTGCGGCATGCTGCGTAGTGCACTGCCAGCGCGGGGGACCAGGCACTCTCGAAGCAGTTGATTCCTCATACACATCTAGCCAACGTTGAAAGTCCCCGTAGCAGAATTACTCCGTACCGACACCGAATTCGAGAAGCCTGAAGGCTGAAAGCTTGTTCTCTGCATAACCAATCCCACGTCGCTTAGGAACTCCAAAGGGAGAGGGCCGGTGGGATACTGGGTGTTGCATCCGATGGGGATCGGATGGCATTCGGGGCAAAGACCCAATCTAGACAGTCCTTCTGAGTAGTGATCGGTCACTAAGACTAGAGTCCACAAGAAGGAATCCGTCGGTGGATCTAGAAGGCGAGAGAGAGAGAGTCTGAAGCAGATGATCCGGGGTCTGATCTCGGCACTTGAGATATTGAGGAGCAGTCGCCAGCGATCACCAACCAGTTGTACGGATATGGCTGCTGAGAAGATATTGCTGACAAAGCACTACGGCGACCGGCACGTGACCGACGTGACGGGTTCGTGCTAGGACCATCGGTGTTGACCCGCCCGATTGCGCCGGTGCCCCACTTGCGCAAGGCGAGACGCGACCTTCCATTGCGCCGTGAATTTGTGTCGATGACATTGAGATCCCATGCCGTCAATGATGCATTTTCGACATGCCCTAGGCGCCGTGCACCTTAAACACCACGTCTCATAGTCGCAGGCTGGCCCAGGGACGATTTATATCGCTAAGAGTCATGCCTGCGGAAGTGATCGACCTTCTTTCCAGCAGCCCCTCGGCTGGGCCCTCTCTTGGGAACGAAAGACCCCCACTACCTCGTCCTGCGCCACCAGCTGTTGCGGCCGTCGCAACGGCGCTGGCATACGTCGATGAAGATGTGCTCGATCTAACAGCCGAATTACCAGAGGTAGCCCCAAAGTCTCTACCACTGCCATCCCTACTGCCGGAAGCGCCATCCCCGTCATCGACAAACTCAGCAATAAAGCGTACACGAGAGGAAAATGCTCCTGTGAATACGCCCATTTACTTCAACTCGGACGATTTTGATACAACTGTCGATCTCGATAGCAGTCTGCCAGTTGGAAATGGGTTGAATAACGAACCACGAGAGCGCAAAAGACTACGACTCTCTTCTCCTCGCAGTCGCAGATCCTCCTTCGACCGCTCCCATTCCATCACTGATCACGGTACCCGGCCGCCTCAGAAGCAGGGTGACGGTTTGCGACGAGTACGTTCAGTCATGGAACCAATAGAATTCTCAAGTTCCCCCGGTGTCTCCTCTCGACCGAGGACAACTGCTCCAGCTGCTTCAACGGCGTTGGACAGGGTTGACTCTGATGACCCTTTCGCAGCACTACCGCCTTCAGCGCAGCCTGCGCCGATATGCGAGAACCCCCTTCCGAAGGCCACAGCTACGGGCATCGGCCACATAAACTACCAATTAAGCTCCGACGATCCCTTTGCGAGCTCGCCACCTGTGGTACGGAAAGCGATACCACAGCCGTGTGCAATACTCTTAGACGATGACGATGACGACCCATTTGCCAGCTCACCGAGGCCAGCGCCGACGGAGACTATGAAACCAGCAGATACAAGAGCGTTAGCCGGGAATACGGTCAAGGGGAAAGGGAAGGCCGTTTCACCGCCTAGACGAAAGGCTCATTGGGACCCCATCTCGAGCTCTGCGCCTGAAATGAAAACTAGAAGTGATCCGTTCGAGAGCTCTCCTCCCCCGCCGCGAAAGACCATGACCAAGGCCGCCAGCGCTGTGATCAATCTCAGCGACTCGGAGCCAGAGCCTGCAGCCTGCGATCTCGATGCCGACTCGGACGGAGAGTTTCCAGACCTCGATAACTTTGACGTTTCGAAACTCAAAGCACGATTGGATATCAAGAAGCCAGCTTCTCGAACTACCTCGAGGGCACCATTGAAAGCCACCTCTAAATCGACTACCAGCCGCGCAACGACGACGAAAACAGCGGAAGAAAAGACGAGAGAGAAAGAAGCAAAAGCAGCGGAACGAGAAAGAGAAAAGGAACGCAAGAAGCAAGAGAAAGATGCTGCCAAGGAGCAAAAGGCCAAGGAAAAGGAACGAGCGGCTGCGCTGGCAGAGGTCAACAAGATCAGAACCGACAAAAAGGTGTCGACGCCGGAAATGATTGCAGATATCCCTTCCAGCCTGCCCGCCGCCATGACGCTTCAAATACAGACCTTGTTGAAGGACCTGGACGTGCAGCACTGTACCTGGGACAGTCCCGTGGACAACGTGGTCAAGTGGAGGAGGAAAGTCGCAAGTCGATTCAATGACGAGCTCGGGCACTGGGAGCCAATTCCGATGCGCATTCAACCAGACAAGTTCGCGCTCGTCATCGTCACTGCGTCTGAATTTGTCACGTACGCCCTGGGACCCGAAGGCAACAACCTCGAGGCTCACGTCTCCAAGATGAAGCAACATTTCCCAGAAGAACAGCTCATCTACCTCATTGAGGGCCTCAACCCCTGGATGAGGAAGAACCGCAACGTCCGGAACCGACAGTTTGCATCTGCCGTGCGCGGTGGAGATACTACAACTGGAGACGCCCAGGCCTCGACAAGTGCCGCCGCTCCTCCCCCTCAACCACGGCGGCGCAAGAACCAACAGCCGCAGGAGTACATTGACGAAGACTCGGTCGAAGACGCCCTGCTCCAACTGCAGGTCATGTATGACGTGCTGATTCACCACACCTCCGCGGCCGTCGAGACGGCGCAATGGGTCGCCGTCTTCACGCAGCATATCTCGACGGTGCCGTACCGGAAACAGCGCGAGGCGACCAACGCCGCGGGCGCCGGCTTCTGCATGGAGACGGGCCAGGTCCGCACGGGCGAGGACGTCAAAGATACGTACGTGCGGATGCTGCAGGAGATTGTGCGCGTCACGCAGCCCGTGGCGTACGGCATCGTGTCCGAGTTTGGCACCGTGGGGGAGCTGGTTAAGGCGTTTGAGGAGCGAGGGCCGCTTTGTCTGGAGAATTGCCGCAAGAGTACGAATAAGGATGGTGGTTTTTCGGACCGGGCGGTTGGGAAGGCTGTCAGTAAGAGGATTTATAAGATTTTCACGGAGACGGATGAATGGAGTACGGATGTATAGGGTAAGAATAGGATAGGAATGGGTTGTATTGTATGAATAATGACTGGATGATTGGTTGTATTGGCATGGCATTCATAGTTTAGGTGGCTATCATCCTTTTATAGCGGCAGATATGGCTTCATGGAACATGGCTTCCGGTACATTTTCAGTTGCGACGAGAAGATATCCTCGGTGTGAAATTTTACGTTGAATTCAGGTTTCTTTTCATTGGTCTAGACTTAACAACCCATGCTCTCCCATGCTACCGGCATCCATATCCAAACCCATACGCGTTTCAAAGACAATAGTAATTCCCGTGAAAAGAGTTTAATATTTACACCCTGAAGCAAAGCCCTTGTTGGAAAGGCCGCCGAAGTGACTGATGAGTACCGGCCCCCCTGGCCACGGGATGAGGGGTTCGAACCCTCCAGCACTCATCAGGATGGTCATGTTGTGCTTTGATTGTAGACAGTGTGCATCTGACGTTTGTTCGCTTTGCTTGTAGACAGGTTGCTTTTGACATGTGTTTATTTCGGCCCTGACTCCGGTGCGCTTGACTGGTGGACCAGAATCCCGCCTCCAGGAGACACAGGGCCACCGACAACAGCGGGCGCTAGGCTCCGTAAGTTCAGTGCCGTGGTTCAAATGGGTTTGCTCCGAGCAAGTAGTACTCAGGTGGTAGTCTGTAGAGACTTGTGGTTCACGTAGGTTTCCTCTGGGCGTATTTTGCTCTGTAGAGGCTCTTGACGCTTCAAGTGGAAGTTTCCCCCAAGTGTCAGGTGCTCTGTAAAGGCTTTAAGATGTTAGCCAAGGCTCCTCCAAATGATCCAGTAACAAATAGAGGAAAATAGCGCTTGAATGTCAGACAGCGGTTGGACTGAAGTTGTTTCCACACGTATACTTTCGGTACAGGTCTGTGAATTTCTTGCCTCATCATGAAAAGCGCACCTCGAAGGTGTTGGTAACGAAATGGAATTTATAAACATACCTGTTGTTGACCGACCAAAGTAGGACGGGTGAGTAAGACTCTGGGACAGCGAACTTTGGCGTTCAGCTATCCTCGTGCTTCCGTTTGGATGCAGTTGGTTTGAAGAACGCGCTAAGCGTCTTCTGCTTCTCGTCAAACTTTGCGCTGCCGATCCCTCCACGCGTCTTTTTCAACCCGCGAAGGTGGTCGGTGCAGTTGACTTCCACAATTTCAAGCTTGAGGTGGGGCCATTTGGGATCCTGCGTACCGCTTCGCGAGCCAGCAGCAGACTCCTTCGCATTGACTACCGGCAAGGACTTGACATTGATCAAGAGATAGCCGGTGTTGCTCCACGAAAAGCGCTGTTGCTGGTCCGACGTGCCGGTTGCCAGAGACCCAAAGTTGCCAGCGGCAAGTAGAACTCTCGCCAGCACGCCCAGGATAATGCCATGAGCGACGATGATGATGCTCTCCGTACCGCTGCTGGCGCCCTCTTGCTCTTCATCTCGCTCTCCTTCGACGCAAGCGAAGAGGGGAGCGAGGTACTCGTCCACGAACCGCTCCGCACGCACGCGCATTGAGTCGTGGTCTTCGGCGCCTTCATGTCTGTCTCCAGACGATCGGGCACCGAACCTCTGACCCTCGCCTGTCCCAAAGTGTTTCTCCCGGAGCTCTGCTAATTGTAGCGGGGCCACTCCAACCGTTGGGGGTATGCACCCAGCGTTGGTACTGGACGTTGCCTGAGCATCGGCATCGCCAGTGTGTGTTGCTAGCATGGCAGTGCGGTAGGCTCTTTGGAGATTCGACGAAAAAATGTGGGTGATGGGGGCCGCAGCCTCAGCGGTTCGTGTTGCGAGATGTTCACCCAAGCGCTTGGCTTGCAAGACGCCGTGGTTGGTCAAAGGTGCGTCGCGAGACCCAGCACTGCAAACACGCGCCACGCCCACAAAGAGCGCGCTGCTAGTTAGAATGGGTGACAAGTTTGACTTTTCGCTGAAGAAACGAGAAAGAAAGCTGCGACCCAGACTAGAATCTGGCAAGCGCACAGAGAGTGGTACTGTAGCGGTGTGGGAAATGCGTACTAGAGGTTCGCGACGTTATCGACGGATTCGCCATGACGAATGAGGTAGAGATGAACCGCGCCCATGGCTGCTTTTTCAAGCGGGCCAAAAGAGCGCCTTTCTCGAAAAGTGCTCGGGTTGTTGCTTTTGAAGTGCCGCAGTTGGCAGAAAAGGAAAAAGCGTGAGTATGAAAGTGAAAGGTTGAGGAAAAGGCAGAGGCGCGATCAGATTTTTGTAGCCGCATTGTGTGGAGCCCTCACCGCCACCGTTTAAGTGCATGACGTCCCCTTAACTTGCTTAGTAGAATTTCTCGGCCCTGGTCAGTCTTTCTTGGAGTCTCGTCAACGCGTCGACGCGTCAAAGTCTTGAAGTTTAAGTGGATTTTAAACGGAAATGACCCGCCTGTCTGCTTTCCGTTCCGATTTGGCGATTTAACTCTTCGATGTTCCATTGAAGGCTACCATATTCTACGGGCAGCACATTCTAATTGGCTGGCGGATGAGAATGTCTAAGAAATCAGACCCTTACACGTGCGAAGCTCAACCACGAACAATGTATGTGAGGTAATCGCAGCGCACAGCTACCTCATTGAAGTCTCGCTGGCCTTCCGTATACTTTCTCTCAAATCGGCACAAAGCTTGTATACCTAGGGAGGGACCTTGTATTACTGCTCAACCCCACTCAACACTTGCTGCTAGACTTCATTCCGAAACATCCCAGCTTGCCGCCAGAGAGCCATACATCCTGATCTACATTCGCACGTTAGCGATAAGAGCATACATAGGAGACATGGCATTGCATTGCTTCATGCTCTTATGGCCGTACTCACCAAGATATCTATGGGTCTCGCGAAACTGAGTTGGGTTTCCGAATGCGCACTGGCAGACGAGGTTCCCAATGTCGTGAAGGTACACGCAGTCCTTGCAGCTTTTGGCGAACCCTCCCCTGTGGCAAATTTATCAGCGTCAAAGGTCTTATGCGATGCATGATTGTCCTCTGGGTGTTACTTTTCTTGTCCCTGTAGGACCCCGTGATCGTTGATGATGCAGTCATTGAGTTCCAGGCGAGAACACTGCATGTAGGGTGGTCTGTTTAAGGGGCATGAGTAATGGATCCAAGGGTTCTGGTCATTGTCGCCGAGACCGAAGTTGACAAAATCACAGTTGTGGAGGAAGTTGTCGTCGTTCTTCGACGTGTCGAGGTCAGCCGGGGCTGCCATTGTCAGTGTCATGGCAGCGAGGAGAACTGCGAAGCACTTCATCGTAGTATCAATTCTCTTACTTGCGGGGAAGAATTACACTGCGAGGGCGAAAGCACGCTACCGTGGGTCAGCTCTGGTCTCTGGATAAACCACATGCAGGCAAGAGACCGAATCAATGATCGAAGCGGCACCTATTATGTATGAGAGTCTCAGTAAGGCTTCGATGTGGTGAATGAGGTCCAGCAGATCATAAAGCACGGCCTTCTTGGCTTCGGTTCGATTCACTCGATTGGGCTATATGATATTCGTATAATTGCCCGTCTCGAGGTCATTAGTCACGAGGTCGATAGGACAATCGATTGATATTTGGGTGAGTATTACCATCCTCAGAACCACGAGGGCCTCCGAGAATCTAGCTGCCGTAACATGATACTCCAATTGCGTCGTACATGCTCCCTTTCATGAACAAAGACATGAAAGAGCGACCAGTTCACCAGTATAGCCGAGCTCCATAAGGCCCTAACAAGGATTCAACTAATTATGCTTGCTCACAAGCCGCCCTCGAAAGCCCATTCCGGCTCATCTGGAATGACATCGGGAGTTGTATGAAACCGAGTTGCCATCATTTCATGCTCAGTACAATCAATGACATTCCCTCCAAATCTGTGGCAGCCTAGCTGGCCTCCCCTATTATCCATCCACTCATCTGTTTCCCCGGTTGTTGAGTGAATGCTCCGGACTCCGCAAACAGTAGACAGGACTCGGGAGTGGAAACTTACTCAAGTTGATGCTGGACTGTACCCAACCTTTGGGACCTTGGCACTCGCACTTCATGTTTGCGTCAATATTCTCATACTTGCAGTCCACGCATGACTTGAAGAATGCACCGCTTTGAGAAAGGTTAGCCGAACAAATCACCGTGCCCATGCAGCAAACAAGCTCGACGAAGGAGGATGAAAACTTCTTACTATCTCCGGTAGACGATTTCGCCGTGAGCGTTTGCGAAACAGGCGGTTAGAGGCATCCAAGAGCACTTTTGACCTCCCTTGCCATCGCCGCATTTGGCCACGAGGTAGGGTGTCGAATCCTTTTTCTTGCTACCCTCTTCGACGAGAACTCTAGGGTCGAAGAAGCGAACGTCTGAGCAAGATGCCTTGAAGTTGGCTGGTATCTTCTTCTCTGCTCGGCTTTGGAGGGTGTCGAGAGTCGTAGAAAACTCGTATGGTGCTGCGATGGTCACGCAGACCATCATGAAAACGACGAGGAAGATGGAGGGGAAGATCATGGCGAGGATTAAGGCAGCTACCAGTGAGCGGAAGATGTGATGGGAGAAATCAAGAGCAAGGATTTGGAAAGGCAGAAGAAACGCTTCTGTCAGGACTGGAGGTGGCCTGGAGTGACCATCGTTCTGAGGAGAAGTCCCGAAGTTAGGGTTTAAATCATGTTGGATGAGGCAAGGGAACCCATGTGCAGACAACAACCATCATGTTCTTTGGTGATATGGGACAAATGTTTGATGAGTACACTTGAACCGCCCAGTCTTTGCCCAACTTCAAAATCTGAACAGATTATAAATTGATGAGCAAAGGGCCACCATCCCAAGTCCTCTTACGCAGAATGATGGCAGTGATATTCTCGCTCTAGCAGAAGACTGATTCTCACGTATCCTGGCGACGGGTTGTCACCTGCATACAATCTGTTGCCATGTGCTCATGAACCACATCACTCTTGCAACCCCTTCACCGGTGGCAGAGAAGAGATATAGCACCCCTTCGTAGGACATCGATTGAATTCTCACATGCAAAAGTATATGTAACCTTGAGTAGCCAAGTTGGATAATTATTGCAAATGGGAAGTCTCACAGTGTGGTATCCCTGATGGCAAGTTTAGATCATGCGGTGGACCTTGGACCGCGAACTTATTGCGAATAAACGGAACTCACAGCCCTCCATTCAAGTCGCAAAAGAGCCTCAAGCCTTTTGGCAACGGCATTGACGAAAACGGCGCTCTCCCTACCTTTTCCCATAACCCCTTAGAAACCAGACAAACATGCCGTCCGAGCTTCTCGTCGCCATCGGAGCACAGATCTGCCGTGGCCCTGTTCCTGAAAGAAACACCGTCGTTGCAGTGAAAACTCATTTTGGTGTCTTGTTTGGAAGAAGCACTTGAGGACATTACCTGTGTCCTCCCGGAGCATCGAAGGGGGAAAATCCACCTCGAGACATCACCGGTAACCGGCAATGCCCCGGAGCCAAATGATTACAAGTCTTTTCGGCCGAAGATAGTCGATAGACGCGCCAAAAAGCGCTCTTAACGTAGGTAATGTCTTAGGTCTACTTGGTATTGAGTTCATTATTCGGGAATCATTTTGACAACTTCTTGGCATCCTTCTGACTACAGGGCCACCCCGACAAGTCGGAGCCGAACCGGGTCCTGTGGGGTAAGGCACGATGGCGACTGGCTGGGTGGATCTCGCGTCATTCAAAAACCGAAAAGACGTTTGGGTGCGGCATCCAATTTAGCCGCCGATTGCTTTTGCCATGTGTCGGCGGCAGTCCGACATTGCGTAGAATTCATTGTCTGCAGTCGGACGAGCACAACGAGGAACTGTGATTTGGGACAGCGAGCAGACCATGACCTTGCCTTGACCGATACCGAAGGCTTGGCTGCGTCAAGTCGGTGGGCTTTTGCCGGAATTAAGAGACTGGCATCGTTGACGTGATAAGAGAGGATTTGCGGGCCTGGGTAGCGTACATCTAGATAACCTTGCATGTGTAATATAAGGAACCGAGAAGAGCCTATGTGGTGTGAAAACCTCTGCAGAACTTGCCTTTCTTGACGATTCCCCCGCTTCCGTCAAAATGGCAGATCTCGGGAAGAGCACGGAGGGTTCCAAAGTCTCAACGGTGATCACCACAATTGCGTTGGATGCAGATTTCCCTTCGTCAGTAGCCGGTGCTTCGACCGAAGTACCAGCGATTCTGGAGGACGACAAATCAGACGACGGCTTGAAGACGGCTGACCCCGAGAGAAACGCATCAGACGATGAGAGACAGCTTGTCAATGGCGGTGTAGTCATCAGAGATGGTATGGAAAGCCAGAGGGCCTCTTGCTGAAGCACATAGTCCAGTCCTGGATATCAGCTGATTTTCCAAGGCAACGATGTCGCAAGATACATTGTCAGTACCCAAGACGATGGAGATGCCTCTTGCACCTTTCGATCGTTCATAATCGGCTCTGGTATGATTATTCCCAGTGCAGAGGATTGAAAATGACCGAAGCTTCGGCGAGCTAACCTTGCCCAGGCCTGACCGCCCTTGCGGCCTGCATCAATCAAATGTGACAAGACCTCATGTCGTTCCCTGACGTCTCATACTGACATAACCACGCACAGCTACTTTTATAAGCCTGTCGATGTCTCATTTGCTTCGGTGTAAGCTTCATGGCCCGCTTGTATCAGGCCCAAGACATCATACTGACGAGTTGTGTAAGGTTCCTGTGCTTGATGGCGTATGTAATTGGAGTTGCTTGGTCAGTCGTGCTTCCTCGACGGCAGCATGTTGAAAAGTACATCCCATCGCAAGCGAAATGGCTTGGACCAATTGTTCACTTTATCAATCCAGGCCACTTTGGCTTGAAGGAACATGCCGTCGCATCGATTCTTTCCACATCTAGCGGAAATGGTGCTGCAATCGTGCAAGTCTTTGGTGCTGAACGGCTGTAAGCTTCCGTGGGATAGAGCCATCATCGGAAAAGCTCGATATTGACAAATGACTAGTTTCTACAACCGCAGCACCGACCCTGCCACAGCAATTTTGACAGTATTCTCAGCATCCATCTTCGGATATGGTCTCGTTGGAATCCTGCGATCCATCATTGTTCACCGTCAGTCTCATTTTTGGGTTCTCATACCCTATCAGAGATGTAGACGTGTACTGATCCAAAGCAGCAAGTGAGATGGTTTGGTGGCAATGCCTCCCCATGATCTCCATATATCAGACTCTTCACCGCGAGCCCGGAGGCAACAACAAAGACAGGCTCCGAGTGTTCGGCTTCACCTCTATCGGCATGTTCATATGGGAGCCTATAGCATCTTACGTTTGGCCCTGGCTAAACGGTATCTCTATCCCCTGTCTCGCCTCGATGAAAGCCGCACCACCCACTCGAAAGGTTCTGATGACCATCTTTGGCGGTATCAACTCCAATGAGGGCCAGGGGATCTTCAACTTCTCCCTAGACTGGCAGTACATCACGTCGCGCTACATGTCCCTGCCGCTCCTGCAACAAGCTAATTCCTGGGTGGGCATCGTGCTCTCCTACATCATGTGCTTCAGTCTCTACTACGGCGGGGCATGGGGTGCCAAAAAGTTCCCGTTTATGTCGACGGCCATGTTTGACGCGAAGACTGGCAAGGTCTACAACCAGACGGCCGTGTTTGGGCAAAACGCGATCCTGGACACCGAGGCGTTGGAAGTACATGGACTTCCTCGATTGACAGCGTCCAACGTCTGGGCAAACATGGCCGCAATGGCTGCTATAGGAGCGCTGCTCACACATATCGCCCTGTTCTACGGGCCACTGTAAGTCCACTGTTTCTGGAGCATCCGGCTTTGTGTTGGACCCCTTCTGACTTTGGTAGCATCAAACGGTCTTTGAAACAAGCTTGGAAGAAGGAAGAGACAGACATTCACTACAAGATTATGCAAGAAAACTACAAAGACGTGCCGATCTGGTGGTACGTCGCTATCCTTCTCGTCGGCTTCTTCACTGGGCTTGGGGCGGTCATCAAGGGCCACACTACGCTTGATGCCTGGGCGTATGTTTGCGCCATTGTAAGTCTACTGTGCTCATGTCACTCAACTTATTATGATTCTCATCGTTCGCGTAGCTACTTGGTTGCATTGTAGCGCCTTTTTCGCTATGCTTGTACGGCCTACTGGGCACTAGCGTCGCCACAAACAACCTTTCCAAGATGCTGTGCGGTGTACTTCAGCCCGGAAAACCTGTCGCCAACTTATACTTCTCGATGTTCAGTCACGAGGTTACTGTCCTCTCTGTATTCTTGTCAACTGACCTCAAGATGGCCCAATATCTCAAGATTCCGTGGAGAACCATGTTCCTCCTGCAAACTTGGGGGAGTCTGTTTGGGACAGCCATGAACTACGTTATAATGGACACAATTGTAGCGAACCGACGAGAGATTCTCCTCGACCCTATCGGCACCCAAGTTGTGAGTTGACCTTGACCTGAACCCTACCCTAGTCCTCAGATCTAACGCAAAACCAGTGGAGCGGACGCAAGATTCAGTCTCTTAACACAACTGCAGTCACCTGGTCGCTTGCCAAGTACGTCTATGGATTTGGCAGAGATGGTTATGGATGGTGAGTATATCACAGAAACTTTCACGGCTTTGACATATTCTCACAGCTGCTTCCAGGATTCCTCTCTCCATCGTCGTTGGGGCTGCCATTCCCGTTGCCTTGTGGCTTGTTTCCAAGAAGTACAAGACTATCTACGGCTGGGAAGTGAGCAAGTTCGTGACCCCTGTCATATTCCACAATGCCTCTGAGACGACTTCGGGAACTACGTCTGTCATCTGGTCTCAGGTCGTGGTCGGCTTGTGGTCTCAATGGTATATGCGATTGCGTCATCCTGCTTGGTTCGGCAAGTACAACTATATCGTCGGTGGTGGCCTAGATGCAGGTGCTAAGGTCATGATGTTCATTTTGACCTTTGCCGTTGCCGGAGGTTCAGGCAAGGAGGTGCCCTTTCCCACGGTAAGTAATATCAAGTAAATGCAACCGAGTCTACAGTTTCAGCTAACAACATTTCAGTGGTGGGGGAACCCGGAATCGAGTTCCAAGCAGTACGCTGATTACTGCGGTACTGGCTAGAGTTCAGATCAAGTAAACTGGAGTATTGGCCAAGCCTCGACAAAGTTTATCTGATATGGAGGAGTGGTAGAAATCGGCTTGGCCTCGGGTATCCCAAAACTTCCAAGACAGACATCATAGTTGTGACATCATCAAATCTCCATACTTAGTACTCAAGAAATGTATTGGTAGTGAAAACGGAAATGATGGCTACATTTACAATGGCTCCAGTGCTCCTTGCCCACTAATGGGTTCAGGCACCGCATCCCTCGCCAGCTTTTGCCACGCCTTCAACCGGCGCTGATCGACCCAATTCCCGTGGACCTGTGCCTTGACATGGAAGGGCAACTGAATGACAGCGATAGGCTTTTCAAAGTCCTTTGTATCCAGCACCACAATTTCGTTTCTGTTGGCACCTCTGCGCTCAACCATGGTCATGACCCATCCGTCTCCCTCCGGCGCGTCATCGCTTCGTGGTATGAAGATCGGCTCCTGACAGAATGACTCGGCCCCGGCGTTGAAACATTTGGTTTCTTTCGTCTTTGAATTGTGCATCGCCAGACCGTTCAGTCCTTCAACAATGGTATGGCCATCTCCGTTCTGGTCTTCGTGAATGTAAACGTTGATCCAAACGTAGTTATAAGACTTCGACAGGAAACGCTCATCAAGCCGAGGGAATTCTGCAGGCATGTCGAGAATAATCTCCGGATCTGGCACCTTGCTGTTCGTGGGCTGGGAGAGATCAAAAGTCCAACGAACGTAATCGGACTTGGGATCAGGCGCTGGATACACTCCTTCATTTGTAGGGAAGAACGGGAACCCATTGTCGTGCACACGAGTCGTCTCCATGAACAGCGTCTCCCCGTCCTCGCTCTCCCACGCACCACCCGTGTGAATGAGCATGCAGTTCTTCCAGGAGTACACCCGGCTCTCGCCCGGCTGCCAACCAGGCGGAAGCTTGGTAGAACTTCGACGGGGAGCCACGATGAAGGTGGCAGGAAGATCATAGTCCCAGGCCCAGTGGTGCCCTCCCTTCTTCATCCGATCCACGCTTGCTTCGAATGGCCAGAGTGCCAGGATGATCCAGTTTGGCGTGATGGCACAGTCGTGTATGGGCGCGCACCACGGTGACTTGATCCATTGCTCGTCGTGCTTCACGCCGTTGCTGTCCAGCGCGTAAATCACAATGTCCAGCGACGCAAGACCTCTGGCCTCATATCCAAAGACCACGAGCTCATTCGTGTAGGGATCGATCTTGGGATGAGCCGTGAACGTCTTTGCTTTGATTTGTCCAAAGGGATCGTATTTGATGGTCTCCAAGGTCTGCGGGTCGACGGAATAGGGCAGACCTCCTTCTTTCAGGGCGAGAAAGTGATCGGCCCATAGTACGACGTTGGTATTCGCCGTGGAATCCACCGCGGCACGAACACAGGGGTGATGGGTGAAGGGATTGCGATAGAGACCAAATAAGGCCTTGTTGGCCTTGCGCTCGAGCTTGTAACGCTCGGTTTCGACGTAGCGCATCTTCATATCGACTCTCCCATCTTTAATGCGGAATGCCGAGATGTTGCCGTCGCCGTCTAGGGGAACGTTGTTGGGATGGGGCGGCACGAAGGGGTCTGTCATGACTCGGTAGAAAGTGCCGTCGATCTCCTTTGGGATTTCTCCGAGGACCACCAAATCGCCAATTTCACCTTCCAGACGGCATGGTAGATTAGATCCGGCGAGATCGTAGGCCTCTGGCCACTTTGTAGTCAGGCCATAATTCGAAATTACGTGCGTCTTGGACGAGGTAGCGACCTCAGCCGCCTCGTCGTCTGTTCGACCAGGAGCCATTGCTTTGAGTAGTCGAGGAGGTAGTGATGTGTGAAGTCTTGTTTGCTGGCGAATATAGTAGTGCTAAAGGCCTTTGTAAACGGCATCTTCTAGCTATATCTTATACTTAAAATGATCAGACGATAAATTTCATAGGACGATAATAGAACGATGGTCATTGATCTCAACAATGGGTGAAATGTAACTACCGAAACCTCACCCCTTGCCAAGTCAGAATAGAGTTCACCGGCTCAGACCCTTGCGGCCGGCCCGCGGGTCATTCACACTATTTCCCCAGAATTCCCCGCATCAAGGGCGGCCGCCTCTGCTTCTAAGCGCCAAAATGGGGCCTCGGTGAGTTGTCGACGACCTCCATCGGGCACCTCCCCAGGAATGCACTGTAAATATAGTCCCAAAATTATCAATCACGGATGCAATTCCTATCCGTCATCTCAACCCGTCAAGGATGATTCCCATCCTTGAGATCTGTTATCTCGTCCGCCGGTCGTCCGAAGCCATGGATCCATCCGGCTTGAAACCCCATGTGACACCAGACTGACATAGACCCATCTACTGGCGCTGACATTGCCTTTACATCACTTGGGATTGGTCGTTAGTATTGCCTCTCTTCACATTGGCTGATAGATCAGAAGAGCCGCTCAGGAGCCGCCCAGGAGCAGTTCTTCTGCTGCCTACGGATACCACTTGGACTCTACTTGGGTTTCATTGGCGCTACCTCGGGTATGTGGCGGCCATAGACTTGCGTCGGCATAGTGCCGAGTTTACTGGGTCTGTGCAACGACATGTCGACTGGTCATCTTCTAGCAATGCGATCCCGAGACGGACACGGAGCAGTGTCCTGGCCCGTCCAATCGTCGATGGATGCTTCGCCCGGAAGATCATGAACAGCTTGCAAGTTCCCGGAGCAAAATTGCATCCCATGATGTCTCAACCTCCTTTCGCCCGGAGCAGCCCATTCTCTTCTTCAATGTTTTTTTCGCCTTCTGTAGCGTCCCGGTCACCATTACTGTGTAGACTAGGGGCCAGTGTCTCTGTGCCAAGTGAGACACCGGGCAACCGAACAGCCTCTCTCGAGGGGAAACGTCGACCTCTGTCGCCCTTTCCCTATCATGCCTGGACTTCTCCGTCCGGCAGTCAAAGATCAATCCGCCTCAACCAAATGATCGGAACGCAGGCGGCTCTCATTTGATAGGCCGCCTCGAAAGATGCTGTGAAAAATCGCTGGGGTTCGGGGCATCGAATGGAATAAACGTCTTTGACGCCAGTAATACCGTCAGTTATTTTCTTTTTTCAGAAACGAGGCCATAGGCCGAGCGATTCATTCGGATGACTTACATAGGCAGTATTTCTGGGAACTTGGTTCAATCCTTCTCTTATCTATCATAGGCTCAAGTGGAACCCCTCTGTTCTGCCTGATGAGAAGCAGTGATCCCCCCGACGGCTCCGGCAATGATGCCACCAACGATAAGTATCGCCATCGCGAGCACAAAAATCCAGTATCGTCGAAGCCATGATCGTTTGTTCCGGGATGCCATGGGCTCCGTCGAAATAGGAATCGCCACGTATGTACCGGAAGGCCTGTTGTCGGATCGATCGACTGCCGCAATGTCTGGAGGCGCCAGCTCCCGCTTCTTGCCGTCTTCAACAAGAGCCGAATGCCCAGACCAGTCACTGAGTGCCATCTGATCACTGTATACTGTTCGGGAGGATCGCAAACGTCGAGAAACAATTGATGTCGAGGCAGTTGAGAGCGGAGTTCTGTTCTTAGCTTCACATTGGACGACTGAGATGGCAAGGTCGATGAAGGGTGACAGGAGATTGACTACCCTTCGAATCACACAAGTGCAACAATTCGAAGGCGTGCTGCATATTTCAAGCGAAGAATGGTTGGTGTATTCCCACGTGCCCTTACACAGAACATGCGCCTGCTCGGGATTTCCGGCTGTTGTACGAGGCAATCAAGAGACAAGTGTCTCTGGTGCGCATGGTCAGCTTGCAAGCAAGCTAGTCAACGTCGAATGGTGTTGATGGTGGGGGGCCTTACTTAGTCGCCAACTCGCGCTAGTTGTGATATTGACAAGTGATGTGCGAAAAAGCACGTTGATTCTCCGGAAAGGCGTTGGGGATTTGACAGAATCCCGCTGTGGCGGCACGAGAGAATACTCCCCTAGCTTGGCGACGGCTAAAAGAAATTACACAAGCCGTGTTTCCGTGAACCTCTTTGCTTTTCTCGAAAACAATCTCTACAGCTCTATGCAGCTTGAGCGTGCATTGAGCTGAGCCTTGAGAATTCTCGTCTCCACATCACCCAAAGCAAGATAGCCTCAATGAAGAAAAGCTCGGCTCGAGAGGTTAAGCTCTTGATACGTAAACAGTGTTGATTGTATACTCTCCCATGAATTACGTGGTCGAAGGTTTGTTTACGCTCTGGGATACATCAGCGGCGCTGGGATGTTCAATGTCTTAGCCAAGGGCCATTGGCTCGAATCGACCGCGTGGACCTGAGACTAGCGCCTGTTGCCAAAACGAAAATGGGCGCCTCCGCAGAGCGAACTCGTACCACTCTGGAACACCGATGCGTGTCTTTTCTCTCCCTTCGCTCAGGCCTCGCCGGAAAAGCCGGGTTTCCTAGACCCGAACAGCATTATTGACGGAGTTGAAGTTCATGAGATAAAAACTCGCGTGTTTTGACTTCACATCACAGCTTTCGCTAAATATCCATTTCACAATCAAGGTTGATGGAAGAGAACGTCAAACTCGTCTCTCAATTCAACTCAAGAATATTTCGGTTCTTCGAGCTCTAAGGTGTTAGTAGCCCACCTCATGCATTTACACTGACTTGAAAGAGAGCCCCAGTCTCTCACGCGCTGGTCCAGCTGGATATGTTCCTTATTCCGGGGAAGCATTTTCTCAGCATGAAATGCTCTCAAATGTGAAGACCTGGCGCGTCGAAAAGGAGGGGAAAAATTCGAATGTATGAATGGGTCAATGATGTTGATGATTTGACATTGCGCTTCGGCTCTTGAGATTTTTCTTCGCCTCACAATGCCGCTAACTGATGCGAAAGCCTTGGCATGGGGTGAAGCCAACGAGCGAACCCAGCTAGGATAGATCGTAGAACGAGCTTGTCTGCGAGTAGAAGATAAGGATTGGGAGGCGCAATATCTCTCTTTAACATTTAAATG